CCGACTTTGTAACCATCCAGCAGAGTTCAATTTTCTGTGACGTATCCATAAGCTGAGCGACACCATTGTCTTTAAAGCTAAAGTGCCTTTCACTGTACGTGAGCTTTTGGCAGAGATTACGGTAAGTAAGTAATCCACTCCCCTGGCCCACTGGGACCTTGGCTCGAACCATCCCACAAATCTGAGGTAGTAACCATTATTCCAGCACCTCAAACGGATGGCCTGTAATTTCCAAAATTGAGCAGCGTCCATCTCGTTCTGTTTGCCATGAGGATAGTAATCCCAAGGTACATGGAAAGTGATGTGGATCCAAGAGGGGAAAGAAACATCAACAGCAGCCTTCTCCTGTCTTCGTTTTGTATGTATTCCCAGGGCTAAAGACTGTAGAATCCAAGACGAGGCAGCATTTTTATAAAGCCTGCTAGAATTTTTTTTGATACCAATCCAATTTTATGCATAGGCTACATAAACCAGCACAACCCTGAAAAAAACTAAATGCGAAGCTTTGCCAAGGGATTGTGTAGGTCCTATAATGCTGAAGATACTCCATATCTGGGCTTGGGAGATTCGCAGTATCCAATAAACTCCATTGGATAATAGGGATACATCCAAAGAAGGCCTTAAGGTTATCCAAGAATTGGGATCGTCAAGCCCTAGAAGAATAGCTCCATAAGCGAGGCGTCTTCCATCTTAGAATCAGGTCTCCAACCAGCTGCAGGAAACGTCTTCTACAGATCCACAAGATCCCAGCCTTTGGGATGGGAATCACTTCCGTTTCCAACCCAAAATAGGAAATGCAGATAATTCCCCAAATTTTAAATCCATCTGGGGGCCCTACCAGGAGTTTGTGTTTCTCACCACAATCAATTACAAAATACCTGCCTAGTGAAACCTTGGAACTTACCCATCAAGTCTCCGCTCATAGCGTCCTTCCCGTGCATGAAGTGATGGTGGTGGGCCATACGTGGGCCCACCACCAGCTCTGAACCCAGAAACCTCTCTACTACGAGATGCTATGGAAACTGTATCATCCAATCCCCGAGCGGCACTAGGGATGGTTCCTGGTTCATTATAATCCGTCCGAAGGTCTCTGTCTCCCATTTTGTTGACAGAATTGTGTGCCTTCTGTGCACTCTTAATGTCCACAAAATCCACAAAGGCCGCCACGCCGCCTTCCGATCCCCTTTTGGGGAGAATTTTGACACTTTCAACACGTCCATATCTAGGAGAAAGACAGAGAAAATCACATACGTTAAAGCTCACAGAAAATTGGCTAAGAAACCACATTTAGTACCTTGAAATTTCTGGACTCAGATTTTAAAAAATAATAATAATCTAAGCATTCATTTCAATAGGTAAGTATAAACAAAGTTTCAGATATGGCTTAGCTTCCTGGACTCCTACCAGAGCAAAGCTTAAAGGCCATTCTATGGGAATATACATACATACATACTTTCAAGCCTGTTAACATCTTTCCCATTCTTCCATCATATCATACCCTGAAAAAAAGCCAGGATACAAAAACTCCACCTAACTTAGTTTTCGCCAACATCTGCAATAGGAGTTTAGCACTAACAGAAAAGCCCTTATTCTGTGATGTTCAAATATATTTCAATGCAATCAATGTTGAAATAAGGAATCCGAGTGGAGTATTTATTAAATGTATTCATTTGTTCCCAGTTAAACAGCCCATTATTTAGTGTTCAAGATGCAAATGTCTAATAGAATACAATGCCTGTTCAAATCATTCTAATCACAGTTCTAGGGACAAAGCCAGTTCTACAAGTTTACAATCTAAGTGATGTAAACTTGTGGATTGGAAACTCTGTTTAAGCCAGAGTTGGAAAACATTTGGCAATTCCTGAGGTAAGCTTTTGATGGCTGCAGACATCAGCGGCAACGACAAATTACCAATGCAATTTATTTAGTTCACACTGTGTATGCAAGCAGATTTGGGGTTAATATGCAAAACATTCGCAAGGTTTCTCCAGAAAGTTTTCAAATCATCTAGTCTGACCAAATGTCACTGACCTTCCAAGCGATTTAATAAAAAGAAATGGATTTCTATTAAAAATACACACATCTATGGTTTGCATTTACAGATCAAAAAGATATGAAACATAAGCTAACAATTCTTTCGTTATAAGAACTAATACCTTCACATTCATCAGACAACCTTTCTGCATTTTCAATTACACTGTTGGCACTTTCTAGAGATAAAGACATATTTGACATACCAAATATAGTATCAGTGAATTTAGGAAGCCATGAAGAAGTCCAGCCTGAGTCCCAGAGGGTTTCTTTAGCAATTCAACTAGCCTACCATTCAAATCTGGCCAGGATGGAAAATGGAAATGTACACCAGTATGATCTAAGCTCATTCAAGTTTGAATTATCTTTCTATGTTGCTCTCGTTGCTGTTCTGCCCTCAAGCGTAACTATCAAAGGCGTGGGTAAGATTCCCCAACACTGTGAAATTCAGCACCATTAGCCACATCAATCCTCCACAACAAGATTGTGCTGAACATGCCAAGGAAGGGGGGCTTAGTGTTTGTACCACACACATACACACACAGGGATTAGGGTCACTATTTAAACAAAAGAAGGGGGGAGAGAATTTTTCACTAAAAACAGTGCCACTTATGTAACAACGGATCAATCCATTACTTGTTCAGAATCTCTTAACGGTAGACCAGCCTACAATGCCAAAAGCACCAGATAGCTCAGTGGGACAACACCTATTTCCCATGTGGTGTTTGCCTCTGCGGTGACGGGAAAAGCATGTGACCCAGAGATGGCAGAAAAACGTCTCCCGTCACAGCTCAAAATATGACACTGTATGACAACTGATAAGAGGCAGGGAACAGAGCAATGGCTACGGCAGCTTTTGGGAGGACAGGATCTGTATTCCAATCGTATTCCGAGGAGGAATCTGGAGCAGAAATGGTGGAGACAATACTCCCAAGGGAAGAGATTTGGAGCCAGGATCTCTCCAAACTAGGCAATTTTTTTTGATACCAATCCAATTTTATGCATAGGCTACATAAACCAGCACAAACCTGAAAAAAACTAAACGCGAAGCTTTGCCAAGGGATTGTATAGGTCCTATAATGCTGAAGATACTCCATATCTGGGCTTGGGAGACCCAAGGGAAGGGATGTGGAGCCAGGATCTCTCCAAACTAGGCAACAGGGTTGCCAGGTTCTCATTTCCAAAGCAGATGGCTCGACACTCATTGGTCCACACCAGAATGTTCGAGGGTGGTGTGTGAGATTTGCTTTAGATCACTCACTCCTATGACAAGCCACTGAAATAAGCATAAAGGCTGCTATCAAAGGAGGCGAAGGACAAACTGCATCGCTGGCTAACCCCCCTCCAAAATGCTAAGTATTGGAAGGCAGCATTTAGAAAGAGTCATCTCTATGGTCTGCACCCCACCCACCCCCATTGCCATGTGTGCTTCTACCCTAGAGTCACTGAAGGCTAATCTGCCTGGCAATCCGACCCCACCCGTTGGGTCTTTTCCAATCCGCTTCCACCCTGGCAGTGGCCATTGGGAGGGGAGCTGTGTTGCTTCATGCGAACCGATCTGGAGGGGAGGGGAAAGACCCGCAGTGCTGCAGCAGCCTGCAAGATCAATGCCCAACAAGAAAAGGATCCCTGTGAAAAGCTTCGGGGGGGAGGGGCTAAGGATCTAGGCATACGGCTTTG